CTTCTTGAATTGACAAATTTGTTTACCATATTAGAAAACCAAAGATTCAACAGTGGTAATGTAGAGTTGTGTCTAACCATTTTTTCTACATGCATGTTGTATACACTAGGCAAATTATTTCGCCCATGTTTATTTCCATGCCATTCATCCCATATTTATGCATGGTGAGAATGAGCTTAACTCTGAGAATCGTGGTGTTGAATGGGTTCTTCAAAGTCTATGTGAATTTTCCAATGTCTGGAAGACACCCACCTCTATAATATCAATATAAGCAATAACAAAGGGTTAGCGTCTTGCCAGCTCTAAAAGCCAGGAATGCTTCAATTCCATTTGGGAATAACTTGGGCACTTTCATATTCAATTAAAATTTATCTTAAAAAGTTTCTACTTGAGTATCCTGGCTTTGTCTGCCAAAGACCCCATAAACCATTGTACAAATGATCTAGATACATAGAATAAACCAGACTTTCCTATGACAACCTTACCTGGAAGCCTTGTTTGTCAGTGTCCCCTTTAAAATGGTATGGGGTCTGAATTGGCTAATGAGGACTTCCCTTGCTTTAAACACACTATTCTATTAATATATTCTTTTTTTTTTTTTTTGAGACAGAGTCTTGCTCTGTTGCTCTTGGCTAGAGTGTCCTGGCATCAGCCTAGCTCACTGCAACCTCAAACTCCTGGGCTTAAGCAATCCTCCTGTCGCAGCCTCCTGAGTAGCTGGGACTACAGGTGTGTGCCATTGCGCCTGGCTAATTTCTCTATTTTTAGTAGAGATGGGGTCTCACTCTTGCTCAGTCTGGTCTCGAACTCCCGACCTCAAGCGATCCTCCTGCCTTGGCCTCCCAGAGTGCTAGGATTACAGGTGTGAGCCACCACACCTGGCCAATATATTCATTTCTTAAATTCCTCTCTTTCACCAGACAATTCCTTTAGCAATCAACTTCTGAGACTCAGTTTAGGATTTTCAATTTAATCCAGTACATTTCTAAAATTGATTTTGAATCACACATTTAGTGACTGACATAAATGTCTATTCCAAATTAAAAAAAACTTCCTGTGAATAACTTTTGGACTGTTAGTTGTCATTCCCCATTTTAGTTTTCTCCTAACTAGGATTATTTCCAAATTAATAAGAATGTCCTTAAGATCTTTAACTACAAGCAGGCAAATTTGCAGCAACTCAAATTATACAAAGTATTCTAAGCTAAAAAAAGAAATTGTTTTTGGATGATTTACATGAGAGTTCCCATCTAACAGGGAGGATCATCAAGAACTGACCTGACTTGGCCTTAGGAATTTAAGAGACTAAGTGATCTCTAGAAGACAGGAAGAGAGAAACACATGGTGCCACATATATTTACACAAGAGTGTGGGAACAGACTTCAGCAGATATTTCAAAGGGCTTAAACTGGGTGAGTCTTTAAACAAACAAAACCAAAATAAAATACCAACTGTGAGACCTTAAAACATTCGTGTTTCTTCTTGGGGCTTTATATCCCACAGTTGTCAAATTGGGAACTGGAGTCTTGTCTCCTCCTATCATTCTCTAATTCTCAGGCGATGAAACAGGCAGGAATAATATTCAGACATTAACCATCATTCTGTTTCATCTTCCATGATGGGATGGAAAAATGAGAGTGTTAAGGAATCAACTCACCACAAGGCTAGTGTTGAATTTATAAAACCTCTGGACTGTTCTGTCACTGAAGCTGTTGCACAGGTTTTTCTTTACGAAGTTGGGATGGTTGAGGATGTCGTTTGCTACCAGGGGCTCCTGCCAAGGCCAAATAGAACAGAAGACATATGCCATGTAATAGGCTGCAGGCTGGTGGAGAACTGAGCTTCCCAGCTTTGCAACAAATACCTTGTGGGTGATGTGCTGCTGTTCCACAGGTGCATGTCCTTTGGGGTCAATGAGAGTTGGATGTGCCACCAGATAACCCCTGTCCTCCATTATGAAGCACCTGTACCAAAACAAGTGACGTCCCTCATTCATATAAGCTGTTTTTTTTTTTTTTTTTTTTTTTTAATTAAAATGCTTTCAGAGAGCATTTATCTTGCTTGCCCTGAAACAAATTGCATTGACCTCAGGTTCTCAATAAATACTCTTGAAAAAAATGAAGGAATGCTGGCAGGCAGGTAGACAGATACATTATTTTTGAGGTGGTGGATCACCTGGAATACAGGTAGAGGTGAGAGTTACGCCTGATTCTGTGGCCACCTCCGTAGTTCATATAGAATGTGTCCCACCCAATCCAAGTAAGACGGACTCAAAGATGTTGGCAAGGATGTATGAATGGGAAGTTTGTTTTTTATTTTTGGGAGGCAGATTCTAAAGGAAGTAGACTTGGGTACTTAGAGTGACAAACTAAGCAAACCACATAATTTCTTCTTTCAATGATACACATACACAAAATACAGCATTGAGGGGACATATAAAAATATACAGTAGTCTTCCCTTATCTGTGGGGAATACATCCCAAGACCCCCAGTAGCTCCTTGAAATTGCAGGTAGTATTGAACCCGATACATACTATGTTTTTTCTTATATATACATGCCTATGGTAAAGTTTAATTTATAAATTAGACATAGTAAGAGATTAACAACACAAAGTAATAATAAAATAGAACGATTATAATATACGGTAATAAAAGTCATGTGAATGTGGTCTCTCTCAAAATATCTTATTGTTCTGTACTGTGGAAAAGTGAGACTGAGCATAAGGGGGGAGCACTGTATACTGTATTTGACAGAGACACTAAGTAAGTAAAGCTAGAACCGCTTTAATCGACACTATATTCTGCTTCACCTTACCCCACGTTAGTGATATCAGCTTGCCAGGAATCCTGCATTTCCCCGTAAGAGCCAGTGACATGAAGTGTGGACCACGAGACAGAATTAAGAAAGCTATTTTTAAAAGCAGCCTGAATTAAATCAAGGGAATGCCCTTGCTTTGATCAGACATGTTCTTTTGAAATTCAGGAGGCAAAGACTTGGTTCCATGAGCCTCTTCCCAGGGAAATATAAAAGGAGAGTCTAAGCAGCTGAAAATGTCACAAAGACTTTGGTTTAATGACTAAGTTCACATCAAAAGTACTACCCAACAGTACCCTCTGGTCTTTCTAGTACCAAGGATATGGGAAACCTCTAATTACTGACTTCTAGGGAAACAGAAGTGCCACAGTTATTCTCCTTCTTGTGTTCTGAGTCTGTCTAAATCACAAATAGTATGCATCTTAGAACAAAAATCTTCCTAATGGCACATGCAGGCCTTGAATTCAACTTCTGGTCCTGACCATAACTATGTGGTTGCCATTCAGTAGAGATACCTTGTACAGTGGCAGCTAGAAAGGAAATAGTGTCTGTAAAGGGCTTACCTTATTTTGTTGCCACCGTCTTGGTTACACACTGGTAACAAGTCCATCAGAACCTTGTAGAAGTATCTAAGTGTGAAGTCAATGCCCATCACAGCCACAGTGTGCCCAGAAGACAGCTGTGTACTTTATGTGAAAAAGATCAGTGAGAACGAGAGGCATGGCAAATTCAAAGGTACAAGTTATGTTCAAATTGTAGGGACATTGTATGGTATCAGAGATACATTCCCACCTTTCCTCCTCACTCCCCCCGCCTCCCCAAACAATTAACTAAACAACTGATTTAACATAACATGGCGATTTCATGAGAGAAAATTTTAAGACTTAAGGGGGACTTTCTAAGTAAGACTGGCCCAAAACATGAAATACAGCTAGTCCTGACATTACAAATGTTCAAAGTGGCTGGACGGTTTGGCAAAAATATGGGTGCAGAGGCATCAGGTGGAAGGGTGGATGCATGGCTACTGTGGTTACTTCCAACAGACCTCTAGACAAGGAGCCTGAGCAATCTCATTATTTCCTGCATTTTGTAGGTAAGGAGACTGAGATCTCACAATGACTCAGTGACTGGTGTCAGGTGGTACAAAACCTAGTAGGACCAATGTCTACTCTAGTTTCCTTTCTGTAACACTAAGGCTGATTCCATTCAGAGCATGGCTCATATTATACAGTAAGTCTCTCCTGGTTCCTTTCTCCATTCTCCAATGCTACTCTCAGGAGAGTCAAGGAAGAGAAGAGCTGAGCAGTACAACACGATGCTAACTGTTTTGGCTCTGGAATCAAGCAGATCTGAAATCAAATCTTGGCCTTGTGGCTTCTGGAATGCTATTTAACTTTCTCAAGCTTTAGTTTTCTCATCTGAAAATGGGGACAATAATAATACCTACTTTGTATAGCTGTTATTGAGATTAAATGAGATAGTGTGCTACAGTGCTTAGCAAGCTAACGAGCATACTACTCTTTAGAAAGAAAACACTTCAAGAAATTGCTAGGTGTATCAGAAATATGGACTTCTCACTTGGAACCATAGTTCTTTTCAATCTAATGTTCATGGGTAATTGGAAAGGCATGGGTTAGTGGACCAATGAACTCCTGCACTCTTCTGGCTGAGAATTTGCAGAGTTTATCCAACATGGAACTTTCTAAGAGCCCATCATTTAACATCATCTACCTGCCTGCTTTCTTTATAAAGAAAATATCAAAAGAAAAATGGCAAAACCCTCAATTATTTCTCACAGCAATCTTATAAGGCTTATCATTTCCAGAAAACTGAAGCCTGAAGAAATTACATATTTGGCCAAGATCACACAGTGAATACCTAGTGGAAATAGGGACTCAAACTCAGTGTCTCCAACTCCAAAGCATATACTCTTAACCACTAAGTTACGCTGCCCTCCTTAGATCTGCAGGGCATTCAAGAGTTTCCAAGCAACTTTACATTATTTAATTACTTGTGAAACAGCCAGGAAGGAATCATAGTTCCTATTTTATAAATAAAAAAAATTACGCTTAGCACGGTTAAAAGACTTAAATAAGATAGTCAGATCACCTTTTATTTATGGTAGAGAGACCAGTACTCAAATCTGGCTGTTGCTACAATACTATGACTGCCTCAGTGAAAAATATGACTCAAGTGTTTTGGAATAAGGTAATTTTATTTCTAAACTTCCTCCGAAGTGAGAGCATGCATACTGCCCATGTAAGTCTAGTATTCATATTTTTACCTGCATTTCAGATAGGTACACTGTTACCATGGCAACTCATAAAGAATGTCATAGAAAAATCACACCAAACCTACATTTCGAAGTACAACAGACCAGGCTGTTTGCAATACTTTTGTGAGATTTTCACTGCCAAAGACACATCTAACCGTCCCTTAATCGGTGACTGCCCTTCATCTCTAGCAGCATCATCATTCCGCAAAGAATGCAAACCTAGATTCTCAGGGCACTGAAAATGCTTACGGAAGAATCACAAGACAGCTACATGAGTAACTGAGAAGTGAGTGTTGAATTAGAAAACCCCTCCCCTAACTCTCAGCCAAACCACTTCTGAAAACCAAGGGTGAATGGGACTGCTTCATGACAGGCTGAATATTAGCTTAAGCTTTCTCTTCTGACCTGTTAAAATGCTATGAATTTAAAGTAAAAATAGCATGATAATAAAAATAACTACCATTTATCTGGGACTCAACACTGTCAAGTACAGTGCTAAGCATTTTATATGCCTCATCTCTAATTTTTATCATATCAGTTCAACAAAGGCACTATTACCTTTGTTTTACATGTAAGGGTCAGAGAGGTCATAAAACATAATAAAAGTACTTGACATTTATTGAGCCCTTACCACATACCAGGCACTGTTCTAAGAGCTTGACATATATTGAATCTTTAAAATAATCATTTGAGATAGGCTCTAATATCTCACTTTCCCAGGTGAGGAAACAAAGGCAAAAATTTGTTTACAGTCATATAAATAGCAAATGGCAAACCTACTTTTTCAGAGTGGAATCATCTTAGGATGGGTTACGTTCTTAAGCTGGAGCATGAGGCCAAATAACTAGTAACCACTTGAAAAAGTACCTCTGCAAAGCCTATCTACCAATACACCCACCAAAGCCACAGTTGCTTTGGTTGGGTGCTAGAAGAGGTAGTTGACCTGCATTCTAAACTATTTTGAATAAAAAATACACAGCTTTAAATAGTAAAATCACATTCAGCTAAGCAAAATATTCAAACGATTAGGTTCATGGGACTGTGTATTGCAGGGCAACAGCAGACGATTTTTCTGGGGAATACATACTCGTTGAGTGACACGGGAGCCAGAATCTGGGATTCCAACTGCCATTTCTTGCACTCGTTAAACTCACATATCTAAACTTACATAGGTTCAACCCACAATGTAAAGGTAACCAAACAAGGGATTTGAACCCAGGTCTTTCTCACTTGAAAATCCACCACATTTCCAGCATGTTTCATTTGGACTGACTTGAGAAATATTTGTAAATAAACCAAATCAGAATTCTTCTGCCCATCCAAACCCCAAACAAAAACACATATACACGCATAAATATCTGCCCCGTCCTTGTCCTCCTGAACAGAAAGGATGCCGTACAGAAGGGCAAGCTAATGCCTCCTGACATTGAGCTGCCAGGTGAGGGGAGCCCAACAGATCACCTAACGGCTAAGACACACCTCGGTTTTTATTCCCCACTCTGTGACAACGTTTTCGCCAGCCCAGTTCTGGCCCATTTCATTGTAATCAAAGACCAAGGTGACTGCTGTCCCCTCAGAGAAACAGCCTTTGTTTGCTGTTCCTCCACTGATTAGAATATACGGGAGGGATGATGAGTCTTACTATTCAGACGTTAGTAGGAGTGCGCCCAACAGATGGTCTGCTAGTGAGAACATTGAGGGATCTGTTCTAAATGAGTGTTTACTTGTTTACATGTGAAATATCACATTATGGGAACAGCTGACAGAGTCAGACAGAGACCATGCCCTACAAGGGAATCAACATTTGGCTGGCTGCGGGGCCCTGCTTTCCACAGAGACAGAGGCCACGATATTGAAATTCCACACTGTGCTGCTTCCCAAGTCTTGCTCCCGACGAACTTGTGTTAGAGGAATTCTACTGAATGTCAGTCATTTTACATATAATGAGCACCAGTGAAAAGCATGAAGTTAAGCAAGAAAATCTGTCTCCTATAAATTTTAAGGCATCATTACAGGTATCAGTCAAAATATGATCTTCCTTGGTTGCGAGGAAAAAAACAGCTATTTGTATATTGAAGAGATTAAAACAACGTGTGTGACTTACCTCCCCACTTAACATTTCACTGACACTTGTAGCTTAAATACCAAAATCTCAAAAGCAGGAAATATAAAGCACTCTAAATATATTTACAGTGATACTGATATAGCATTCTGGGAAAATAAATTTTCAAAAAGCCTTCACATCTCCCAAGAAGAGACAGTTTCAAGGACAAATTTTGAAAAACAAACAATTCATATCATTCTAAAAAGTTAGGTCCAAATACAAGAAGGTAATAAATTTGATATCTTGGTACTTTTTTCTTCATTAAAAATGCTCCTTTGCTTGGGAAAACATTCTCTGGCAATGATAATTGTCAGGGTTCCATTCTACAAACTGCTCTACTGACTCCAACACCTTTTTCTTTTTCATAAAACTCATCACGGCTGCCAAAAACAGGGCTAAGAGGCTTTCATTGGCTCAAGTCACATAATGACCTTGTGAGTGAGGTAGGTGCTATCCCCACTTTACAGATGGCAGGGGGAAGCTAAGGAATCAAAGGTGACACAGCTAGAGAAGCTGTTTGAATCCCAGCCCGCCTAACCTCAAAGGTCATGCTTTTGCTTCCAAGTCTTGGTGTCTACTATTCTATTCAAATTTTCAAAATACTCTTGATGTGTTAAAGCAATGACTAAAAAATTAATTGAAATATTACCTGGATGAATGAATTGTATGGCTGATTGTCACGACATAGCCAGCTCCCCCAACATCTAAGTAAGGACCGGTCAAAGAAATCAACCCTGGGTTAGCTACTGCATGGAGATACCTAACAGAGACCAAAGAAAGTCATGTTATTTTAGAATGTGAACAATTACTCCAATTACTTCAAAGAAAAGTGAGCTTGTAACTCTAAAAATACTTATCACAAATTGTGCTTATGTTACCTTAAAATCTGAAAGGATTCCTGTCTTTTATGTTTGACTATAGCACCAACTATCTGAAATTCTCTTTTTTAAAAACAGGTACCAGCCTAAGCAAGAATGAGACCTCGTCTCTACAAAGAATAGAAAAATTAGCTGGGCATGGTGGTGTAAGCCTGTAGTCCCAGCTACTTGGGAGGTTGAGGCAGGAGGATCGCTAGAGCCCAGGAGTTCAAGGTTGCAGTGAGCTACGATTATACTGCTGCACTCTAGCCCAGGAGACAGAGCAAGACCCTGTCTCAAAAAGAAAAAAAAAAGTACTGAACTCAGCATATATCTTGGCTTTTACAAAGATCTATAGTATAGATGTTTTAAAGACTAAAAAGAGATTAATGAAGTAGAAACAAAATACAGTTTGGCACACAAAAATGCATCCTGGATTGCATAGGGTGGAGGAGCAGGCATTAAGAATAACCCACTCATGAATGACTCAGTAGCCACCCAGAGCAAGACTAGAATTCCTGTTCTTATGCCCAAGTCGTCCCCTCTTCTACAGCACCTTGCTAGCTTTTGTTTTTGAAAATCAACGTAAAATTAAAGCTCAGAAGGATGCTTTTGAATTTATGTGCTCATTTTTCACAGGTCCTACACCAGCTGTTATTTGATATCATAGCCATGTGCGGTAAAATGGACACATTCTGCACAAAGTAGAAATCCAACAAACCACTAGGAATCCAAATGGCAAGCATAAAGCATTTCAGTTTCAAAATTTCAATGAAGAGATAAAAACACTGTAGACACAAAAAGCCCACAAAGCTGTTGCTAATGCTACATTAAAAAAAACTATTCAGAAACATTTTCGCCGCCATGAAAGTATCTTCTTTAGTGTGACTGCCTGAAGTTGCTTTCTTGTATGCATTTATCAGATCTCTCCAGGAGTTGGGGGGAACCTTTGACAATGGAAGCCCCTAAAACTCACCATTGTCTCCTAGTGGGATCAAATGCTTTGTCCATGAGGGAACCAGGATAAATTCTGAGGACACCATTGGGTGTTGCTATGTAACGGCGGACAATGTAAGTGTTCAGGCTACTCATTTCCATTTGTGTCATCCATTCATCTGTGACGTGGCTGGTAGCCATTACTTCATTTCTGACAGAGAACTGGGAAACAAAGGAAGACATAGCAGGGATCCTTTAAAACTCACATAAAAAGAGAGTGGGCTGCTGGCAGGGCTCTGTCGCAGAGAAGCCAAGCCCAATTACTTAAAAATCTTTCCACAGCAGATGGATGCAGCCAAACTTGGTGAAAACAAAAACTTACAGAAATATAGCCAGTGGATGTGTGATTACTCAATTGTTCATCCTAGCTGGGCTTTCTGAGTTTAAAAAGACACATCCTATGATGTGTCATTAAAGATACCCCTTCCCCCCCATCTTTGCTCCTTAAACTTCATATCTATCTCAACAGCAGGGGCTCTATACTTCTTTCTCCCGGGAAGGATGGGGCTGGGAAAGTTTCACTGGCCTCTAAATCACACCCCCCTACCCTGGAAACCCCCAGTACATCTGAGGCCTGAAACAGACTCTTCGTGTGGCTCACAGGGCTTCTTAATCCATCGGAAGGGTCCCTGCTGACCAGCCACACGCTCTGCCTTCCAGCCCTCCAGCTGAGAGGCACAGATGCAGAGCTGGGCTTCCCACTTCAAAGGTTCACGGCCAGCACCCCCTCCCGGGCCTGGGGAGGGGGACACCGGCAGAGGGGCCCCTCGCCAGCACTCACTTTGAGGCCTGGGTTGGCAATGAGGCGGGTGTTGTCGCTGAGATAGGCTGTGTAGTGCTCCACCATGCGCTTTGTCTCTGGCTGGCTGAGGTGTTCGTAGGGGGAGGAAAAGCTGCCAGCAGACAGCATGACGGTCGGGCTCTCTGAAAGAGAAGCAAACAAAACAGGCCTGAGAATACCGTGACTCCAGCTCAGGCCCAAACAAAAGCCTCCCTCACGCTCTGCCAGGCCGCCAGCCACGGTGGCTTAACATCTTCCACAGGGACACAAGATACCGAGAGGAGGGAAGAAGGAAAAAGCCACGTTCTCTCCCTTCAGGGAGCTTACGGTCCTCAGAGTAAACCAGAACAGACACGTGCACAAGCAAACACAAGTGCAGGATGTGGAAAACCTTCAAATTGTCTTAAATCTACATATCTGTATGTGTCCCATACTTATCAGTGACTTGGAGGCAGCGTGCGACATGCATGGCGCCAGCCTGGGTTGAATCTGCCTGTGTGGTACCAGGCAAATTGTATACATGTCACATTTGTCTCACCTGCAAAATGGGGAAAATAACAGCACCAGTTTTACAGAGTTATGGCAAGAATTAAGTGAGTTCCTATGTGTAAAGCAAACGCGTGTTAACCATTATTATTCACATTTGTAATATTATTTAGGAAGAGAGAAAGATGGAACGGTGGAATCAATACAAAAAAAAAAAATAAAAAATTACTCTCATAGACGATGGCAGCCAAACTTGACATAAACCAAAGCTTGTAGAAACAGAGTAGTTAATGTGTACATATTTATTTATTGGTCCTATCTAATAGGAAAATCCCCATTTCCAATTTAAGAAATAAATCTCCACAATGTATGAAACAAAAACACTAAATCTTTGTCTTTGAAATGTTCTACTGTTCAACCTTACCACGTTCTTAAAGGCTCTGGAAAGCATGATCATGGATCCCAGCTCATTTAAGTCTGTAGGTCATTTTCTACTCCTCTTGTTAGTTCTCACACATAGTCTTGTGTTTCCTTGCAGCCTGGTGATGATCTTTGACTAATGTGAGGAATAACTTGAGGCCTAAGGGAATGGGAGTATCTTCCCCCAGTGAGCTCTGTTGTGTGATTCTGCCCAGTGCCGCATTGCAAGGTGACGCTGGGTGGGGAGGTGGGAACGGTTCCCAGCAAGGAGCCAGGATGCTGCCCTAACCATCGCAGTGTGTGACTTTGGTATTTAGCTAGTCTAAGACCATTCCATTTCAAAGGTGAATGCTTGAAGTTCTCTAAATCACTCAGATGATAGGAATCTCAAATTAAGACCTGATTTATTTGTGGTTCACTCTTACCCTAAAGATGCAGTGTTTTAGGATCTTTGCTAAAAGCATGTGTGTGTGGGGGGGTGCGGGGGTGAAAAGAATGGCTTCATTTATTAGAGTCTTCACCTTTTTTGGACCCTGGATTTGACTTCTGCCTCTCTTCCTAGTCCTAAGAAGCCACCTACAGCACAGTTTAATCTCACAGCTGTTTCTTCTGGATTGGTAAATATGTGCATTGTGAAAGTGGCTTTGAATGCTGGCTTTCTTCTCTGGGTTCTTGTCTTCTAGATTTTGGCCCACTAAATCCTATCACGTTAGCTCTTTGATACTTTCTAAGGAGATTTTAATCCAGAATTGCGTTTTCATCCAGGAATTTCAGAATTCTAGGACTCAGAATTACCTAGTCTGTTATACCCAGAAAATGTTGCTTTCAATGATGTTATTTCTCATTTAATTTTTGTGATATTGTCACGGGCTATCTTAGGAGATTAATAAAAAGAAGGAAACCAGAGGTTTAAAAAGGTTAGATTGTGAATTCAGGTGCATATGCTCCTGTGGTCCCTCTATGCAAGGATGTGCCAAGAAGAGAAGGAGAGAGGATAATTCCTGAACTCACAAATCTTAGGATCCAACCGGAGTGATAAGGGCAAGGAAAAGAGAGGAAAACAACAATGTGAGAATAACACAGTAATAAGAGGTGTCAAAGGCATACATCCACTTCAGGGACAAGAGAGTTGTAGTGGGGCCAGAGTTAGGAGAAGGAGAGACACCTTGGGGAGGTGGCTTTTTGGCATTTCAGAAAAGGCTGGTGCAGTAAGATGGATTGAGCACAAAGAGAGACAAAGAAAGAATCAAGAAACAGGACCCATAGCTTTGTGTCCAGGAGGCAGACATACTCACTCATACACACACATACATACTGAACTGCCTTAAATGATGTACTCTTAAAAAATTCTTCTTTTTCTCTTTGTGTATCAAGAAAGACAATGTCCTTCCATCAGCTCTCTTGAAGACAGATCTGACGTATATTTAATACCTTGCCTCAAAAATCCCCATCATCAATGAGGTCGGATGGAAACTATTTATTTGCCATGTCTCCCATATTTTCCATTCCTCCTTTACTGTATTTTGATTATCCTGGTTCACTTTGATTACTAACTAATCCCAACTAAGCTGCCCTTCATTACATGTCCACACTATCCCGGGTGAGAAGGGGTAATGTCCAGGTGAGGAGGGGTGGCAAGGTGGAAAGAGCTCCCATACTGTGAAAGTCAGACACTGGCCTATGGTCTGCCTGTTAATCACATGTAAAGTATTTAAGTTGATAAATTACATTTTCAGAGTCATCTCTGTGAGGCATTGCTGTCCAGCTGAGACACAATGCAATCCATAAATGTAATTTAAAATTTGAGTACCACATTAAGAAAAGCAAGAAGAAACTGATTAATTTTAATATTTATGGAATCCAATATATCCAAAGCAGTATCATTGTTTTAACATGTAATCAATATTCAAAAAAAAAATGAAGCATCGATTTCACATTTACATCTCGATTTGGACTAACCACATTTCAAGTGCCCAGTAGCTACGTGGGGCTAGTGGCCACCATATTGGAGAATGGAGCTATAAGAGATTATCCAGAGGAAATAAAAAAATCTGGCTTGAGCTTCTTTCTCATCAAGAAAACTGTTGTGCTTTACTGTCTCAAATTTCAAAATAGTGATCTTATTTTCATGAGCAGTAGTATTTTGCTTGCTCACACAAAACTTAAAAGAGCATGCACACATTAGCTTTTCAGTAAAGCATTTCTTAAAAATATGAATTTTTCCATACTCTTTTATATAAAGACAAATACAACCCCCAAGGACCAAATCAAAACAAAGAAATATAAAATCCGGCCTTCTTGGATCAACAACACTGGCTCTCTCCAAACTGTCAACACTGTTAGGATGTGTCACAGAAGGGATCCCTTAGTCCAGCCTGCTCTTCTGATTTCATGTCCAGGCAGAATTCTCTGAGATGGAATTTAAGGGAGGAACCCAAACACGAGCACTCTCATTTGGAATCTAGAGACGGATGACTTCTGTCTTTGATCCTCTTCCCACCTGTGTCCCCTCTGCCTAGTGTGCCAACTGTGTGATGATTCTTAGATATTAATTTTTTTGGAACCCTAGGTCTTTTCAACAGCGAAGAGGAGAGTATCTGTTTTACTGTACTGTGAGCATACTGCAGTACACTGACAGCACAGACCACAGAGGCCTCGTACGTGTCTGGCAGGTGGCAGAAAGAGGGGCCTGAGCCAAATCTCAGTTTGGCTACCTTCTGTGTCATCGGGGAAAATTATTTATCCCTGGTAAACCCAAATGTCGTCATCTATCATAGGGTAACTCAGGTGATGAATAAAAAACATCTGGGACATAAAAATGTAAATTCCTTTTTGCTGGCCTTTGAATTATTTGCCCATTCCTAAGCCCTTCTGAAGATAGGGACTTGCAGTAGATTACTCATAGCTCACTGCAACCTCAAACTCCCGGGCTCCAGCGATGCTCTTGCCTCTGCCTCCCGAGTAGCTGGGAATACAGGTGCATGCCTCCAGACCCGGCTAATTTTTTCTATTTTTAGGAGAGATGGGGTCTTGCTCTTGCTCAGACTGGTCTCAAACTCCCGACCTCAAGCGATCCTCCTGCCTTGGCTTCCCAGAATGCTGCTATTACGTGCATGAGCCACTGTGCCCAGCCAAATTCTTTTGGATTCTTTTTACTGTTTTTCCACCCACCCACCTTAAAATCCCCTATCTGCGTACTTACTTTTACTGGGGCTGTACCTGTGACTCTCTTTATGGACTGTCTCTGGGCTGCTGAGACCTCTTTGCCCAGCACTAGCGGAGAGCTGAAAGTGACTAAGGAAGATGAAAGCCGAGTTCTCTTCCTTTAGTCTGGGCAACCTCTGTGCTGCGATTTACACTCCAGAGCTCCCCTGCAGGATCAGGCTGAGGTTATAA